ATCGTTACAAGCAACTTTTTGTCTAGCATGCCAGCAGCCATCTCTGGTGAGGGAAGATTAGTGAAAGTGTCATTGACAATTGATGCAGTCATGGTAAACTCCAGAGCTTTGCGTCCCCCCCCTGGATTTTAACATCATTGTATCATCAGGAGAAACGTGGTCAGATTAGCCTTGTGTACATGAGGAAGATGTGAGAATGACTGTAAAGTGTTCAGGTAGCGTGCATGCTTCAACACCTGTAAATTTCTGATAATCAAACGTTGCATACTCAAAATGTTTCGTATTTGAAACGTTTCATATTCAACAGTGTGCTGCCTTGGCATCTTCTTGTAATCATAATATTTATAATATTATTAATATTATTGATTACGAAAAACAAAATATTATCAATGAAAATCCTGTAATTATACCCTCCGCGTTTTGATTTCCAATTAAAAATAAAAAATATCAATCAATACAAGTAAAAAAAAGTACCTCTGGTTAGTTATTAACACTTCTTCTTTAGGAGATTCAAACCAAACCAAACAGCAACACTCACGTTTTGTCACCTTGGACTCTGTCAGAAAATAAATTGTTTTTCCAAGAAAAGAAAAAAAAAATCAATTCGCGTCTGTCCTACCAAATAAACCAATAAAATAATTAGCGTGTACGCGTCAATTGTACCACAAAACTCTTTTTCGTAAAAAAAAAAAATGTATAGTCAAAATAAAAGAAAAAGAACCAAACAAGCCTCAACAAGGAATGATGAGTAAGTGTTTTAAGTATGGTGGTGGTGGTTATCGCCCGCCACTCGTCGTCACTCTAGTTTCTATATAAGATTGGCCTAGTCAGTTGTTTAACTTTGATTTTTTCAATGCACTATTTGCATTTACTTAGTGACAAACGAATTACCTCCTTCTTCTCTTCATCATTGTCATCAAATTCGAGATTAGAGGAAATATTACACAAGAAATTTCATCTTGAAAAATTTCACAAAGATCAATTAAAGGTGATTGAAGAAACATTAAACGGTGAGGATGTTTTGGTATTAATGCCAACAGGCAGTGGTAAGAGCCTCTGTTACCAGCTGCCTGCAATCGTGGAAAATGGAAAAACAAAAGGGATAACAGTGGTGATATCACCCCTGCTATCACTTATCATAGATCAGATACATAATTTAAA